GTTTGGTGCATATATGTTAAGGACTGTAATATCTTCTCGGTTAACTGTTCCTTTGATCATAATGAAGTGACCCTCCTTATCTCTTCTGTTTAGTTTTACTTTTTTGTCTAATTTGTCAGATATTAAAATTGCGATGCCTGCTTTTTCCTTAGTGCCATTTGCTTGGTATATTTTTTTTCCATCCTTTCACTTTGAGATAGTGTCTGTCCTTGAAAGTGAGATGAGTTTCTTGCAGACAACAAAAAGATGGGTTTTGTTTCTTAATCCATTCATCTAGTCTGTGTCCTTTGACTGGAGAGTTCAGTCCATTAATATTTAAAGTTATTAATGAAAGATGAGCATTGAATCCTGTCATTTTTATTTCTGTTTACATCTTGATATAGCTGTACTTTTCCACAGTTACACCTTCATTGAATTTCTTTCCACAACCCCTTGGGTATAGTCATTCCTTTCTTCAGCTCTTTGTATTGCTTCCAGAACTCTCTGAAGGGCTGGTTTTGTGGACATGAATTCCTTCAGCCTATTTATGTCATGGAAAAGTGAATTCCTAAAATGCCTACATATGCCAATGTTGACTATTTTAATTGTTATTTTTTTTTTATTTCAATTTCTCTTTGGCCTGAAATACTGCTAATTCTTAAACATTACTTATCTAGGAAAACATCCTGTGATTTGACAAATAAACAGTGGAGGAGTGTCTGTTCACATGTCGAAGGAACCCATGATTGTCATCCCATCTTTCTGGAATGCACTGGAAGAGGTCCATGTGAAACCTCTTAAATTCAGATGTAGATACAGCTACTGCCTTTTCTTCTTCTTTCCAGCTTTAGCAAACTTCTGGTAACAAAAAAGGCAACATTTTGAGATGATGACTGTCACAGTCACCACGCAGGCCAGCAGTAACCCAATCACATCCAGGGAGTGGTACTGGAACCAGCTGAGGTCGTGGGCTGCCACCCGAAGGTGCTTGGCTCCTTTGTGGCGCATGACATACTCCACCCAGAAGACGGCTCGGTCGAGGGGCTTCACTGGCTGCTCGTGGTGAATTCTTGATAGTCTTATGGCGTTCTCCTTATAGCTGAAGACAGACATAAATGAGAAATACAGACACCAACATTGAAAACCAATTAATTTACTTAAGTTCATCAGGTCTATGAAAGGTTACTGGAAAGAAAGTCTATGAAAGATAATGGAAAGCACCATGAAACTGAACAAATGCCATAGGAGAGCAGTAGGCACAGTTTGATTTTGATTAGGACATGATAGTGTGTTTGGTGGTAAGTTGGCATTTTCAGATGAAGAAATACTTTCCAAAGATCAAAAGCTTTTGGGAAAGTGAATAATTTCCAGCAGAGTAAATGGTAATAAGCCATCCCTAGCACTTAAAGTGGGAGATCTGAATGCAATTTAAAAATGATCTGCTTGAAATTTTGAAGAGGGATTGTGCCATAAAGATCTATAAAATATCAATAAAAATCCTTTCATTGATTAGAAAGGTGCAAAAGATGTAAAATCAACACTTTCCCCTCAAAAAAGAACATGTATGTTTGGGAATATAGGTCGGTGAGTGGGTGTTTGCTTAACATGTCCACGGGTCTGGATTGACCCTGAGTACTGCAAAACAGACAAACTAACTAACCAACCAACAAACCTAACAACCAATTCCAAACAAAACAAATGATCCCAAGGTACAGAGGAAGTGGAATTATGTTTTCTTAGTTTTTAAAACATCTATTATTCATTCATTCATTCTGTGTATATCTGTGTGGTGCATGTACATGACACATCATGAAACTGAACAAATGCCATAGAAGAGCAGTAGGTGCAGTGCGACTTTGATTAGGACATGATAGCATTTTTGGCAATAAGTTGGCATATTCTGATGAAGAAATACTGTCCAAAGATCAAAAGGAAAAGCCTTTGGGAAAGTAAATAATTTGCAGGAGAGTGAACAGTAATCCGCAATGCCTAGCAGTTAACGTGGGGGAACTGAATACAATTTGAAAATGATCTGCTGGAAATTTCAAAGAGGGATTGTGCCATGAAAATCTTTAAAATATGAATAAAAATCCTTTCATTGATTAGAAAGGGGCAAAAGTTGTAAAATCAACACTTTCCCCTCAAAAAGGAACATGTAGGGCTGGGAATACAGATCAGTAAATGGGTGTTGCTTAGCAGGTCCAGGGGTCTGGATTGACCCTGAGTACTGCAAAACATAGAAACCAACTGACCAACCAAACAACCAATCCACCAACCAACAAATTCCAAATAAAACAAATGACCCCAAGGATACAGAGGAAGTGGAATTATTTTTCTTGGTTTTTAAAACATCTATTTATTCCTTCCCTCATTTTGTGTGTATCTGTGTGGTGCATGTACATGACACACAGGTGGAGGTCAGAGGACAATTTTTGAAAGTAGGTTTTCTCCTACTACCTGAGTCCTGGGGATCCGACTCATGTCTCATGTCAAGTGACTTTACCTGCTGAGCCATTTTGCTGGCCCCAGGAGATGCAATTCTTAGTGGCCTTTGGTTGGAGTATAATTTAGGGTAGGTTCTCTCCTAAAACGTGGGTCTGGGAATCAGACTCATGCCTAGTGGCAAGTGATTTTACCTGCTGAGCCATCTTGCTGGCCCCAGGAGATGCAATTCTTAGTGGCCTTTGATTGGAGTATAATTTAGGTCAGATAGTACAGATAGAGAACAAGGAATTTGTTGAAGAAACTGAAAATAGAATTTCCCTAGGTTTTACCTTTCTCTAGCAATCCATTCAAAGAAAGAATAAACAATATGTCAAAGTAATACTTGCAGTTCTATATATTTTGCAACACTTGCCATGATAGCTAAGACCTGGGATTGACTGGGTTGCCCACTGTAGATTGATGGATAAAGAAAACATGGTATGAAAACAATAAATGATGTCATCCAATCATTTACAGTTGCAAGGATGGAACTGGCTGATAAGGGTTCTAAATCAAACTAAATAGGCCTCTCAAGAAAAACATTGCACATTCACATCAATGTGTGGAACATAACAAGAGTTTGCTTCACAGGAGTCATCAGTAGAACAATGGAACTAGAGTCTGGGAAGGGGAGGAGTTAGCAGGAATATGAGAGGTGGGCTAACAGGTACCATGCTGCAGTTGGACATCAGAGAAAGTATTTAAAAGTAATAAGTAATACTCTCAGTTCTATATATTTTGCAGTACTTGCCATGATAGCTAAGAACTGGGATTGTCTGAGGTACCCGTTGTAAGTTGATGGATAAAGAAAATATGGTGTGAAAACAGTAAATGATGTCATCCCATCATTTACAATTGCAAAATGGACCTGGCAGATATTCTGTTAAGTCAAACAAAATAGGCCCCTCGAGGAGAACACTGCACATTCACGTCAATTTGTGGAGCATGATATAGCTCATTTCACAGGGGTCATCAGTAGAACAGTGGAACTAGAGTCTGGGAAGGGGAGGAGTTAGCAGGAATATGAGAGGTGGGCTAACAGGTACCATGCTGCAGTTGGACATCAGAGAAAGCATTCTATAGTAGAAACAGTGAATATGCTTTACAACATGTATGTTGATCTATCTATATAATGAAGTTCTAGAGCAGGGGACTTTCAAGATTGCTAACAAATGAAGCTATGGATGTTCAAGGAGATGAAAATGATATCTATTCTTTTTTGATCATTAATTGCTATACATATACATCTATTTAGCCAATAAATGTGAATCATTTTAATAAGGAATTTGAGATTTTAGACATACAGTTGGAGTATTTTATATTGTTTCAGCTTCATTATCCTGTTCTATGGATTTGGTCAAATTTTGAAAATTGCTAATCTTTCCTTTACCAATATAGAAAAAAAAGTGTTAGCACAAAAGACGCAATGGATATTCAAGAAGATGGAAATGCTATCTATCCTTGTTTGATCATTACTGACTCTGCATATGCATCTGTTTAGCCAATAAATGGGGATCATTTAAAATTTTTAAAATATATTTTATTTATTATTTTTATTTTTAAAATTGCTAATCTTTCCTTAAGCATTATAGAAAAAAAGTTTTAGCATCACATTATTCTTGAGACAACTACTTGTAAGTCTATAGGTGACACTTTGCAGTCCTGATTAGGAGTAAAACTAATTTCACAGTGATTAAACCATTATAAGTTTTTTTTTTTAAATTAGATTCAAAATTGGGTGAAATCTAGTGTTATTGTTAAAAAGATGTATATTAAGTACTACTTAAGTTAAAAGCATTGCACTCACGAGGGATCGTTGATGACTGTCTTCACTGCATCAAGCAGATCTGAACTTGACATCGTGAGGAAGTCCACTCTAACACCTGCCCCTTTGGTCTGCATGCGAACAACATTATCAGGTTGATCTCCAAACAAGGGAATGCCGACTACGGGGATTCCATGGTAGATCGCCTCATAGAGGCCGTTGGTTCCACCGTGAGTTATAAAGGCTTTGGTTTTTGGATGACCTAGCATTGGGAGAAATCAGAAAAAATATTAATTATAACTCTTAAAAATAAACCGAGAAAGAATAAAAGGCATGGAATGGTGAAATATATTCTAGATAACTAATTATTATAATCGTAAAAATGCATGAAAGGGTCCAGAGATCAATAATTAAGAATACTGGATGCTTTTGCAAAGGACTGGGGTTTGGTTTCCAGTACTGACAGGACAGGTAACAACTATTCTTAACTCCAGTTTCAGGGAATCCTGTGCCCTTTTCCAGATTCTGTGGGCACTGTATGCATGTGGCTCACTTACATACATCCTGGCAAAACCATAATATACATGGAAATAAATGTCAATTAAAAACTTTTAAGTACACTGAAATTCCTTTCAAATCTTAGTGTGAGAAGCACCATAAGTCCTCTCACGATTAAGTGAAGGACACAGGATGAAGAGGTAGTGTGTGAAAGATAGAAATGAGTCTGTGCAAAGGACAGAAAGGACAGAAAAGGCAGGGCACATCCCAAGTAGAGCAAACAGCATATGCACAAACAGGCAGAAACAGGAGCATATGGTTGCCTGGAGAAACGTGGTATGTCACTTCAAGTCAGCAGGGAGTGGGGCGTTCATGGCGCTGGAATCAGGACAGCAATACTTCATCATCAAATGCGGTTCCATGTCTGGTGTGGATTGTTTTTTAGCATGGTAAGTAAGAGTCAGTCAGTATAAAAGAATGCCATTTTCATTGTCATTTGAAATTGTCCTACATTGATAAAAGGATACTATAAAATTATAGAAATAGGAGGTAGAGAGAAAAATAATGAAGTGAATGAAAATTTATCTGAAAGATAATTACAGGTGAAATAAAAATGGAAACTGGTCACACTGAATGTTACAGGGTGGAATAGAATATCATCACTTGTTATTTATCCATTTTCCCTGGAACTAGAACACAATCTTTTTTTCATTGACCTCTTCTGTCTCTGACTGGCTATTCCTCATGTTTCTGGGTTTTTCTCTTGTACCTTACCAAGTAGGTCATTCTGGGGGATCCACGGGTACAGCTGAGTATTGGAGCCTAGAGTGTCTGGCTTCTTGCCTTCAAATCTCCATAGAACCTGTTGAGATAAAACCAGACTCTTACTGGATTTTGGGGGGCTAGGGAAGCCAGAGGGAAATGTGCTTTCTCTGAACCCCCCTGAGAAATGCTCATACCACATACAGTGTCTGAACATTAGTGTGTATTTATACTTAGGGGTTGTATGGCAAGGAACACAGTGCCAGACAGGAGAGACTTCCCTTGGAGTGGTTGGTCACAGTGGTCCAAGAGACTCCCCAAATAATATGGGCTATTGTCAGAGCTCTTGGTTATTTCTCAGAACTGGAAAATTAGACCCTACTTCTGAAGACAGGACATATTTTGGACACAGGACTTGGAGCAATGTAACAGGAAATGACCTGGAAGCCTTCTACCTGAAGTTTAGGTCTCATAGTTTTAGAGGACACTATGTAAGTTGCTAAGGGATAAAAACAATGGTCTAAACCAGCCCTAAAACTTAATAACCATAATGCCTGGCAGAGCAAACTACCTCTGTTGTTGGTGCAGCAGCAGCACTGTTATCCGGGGGCTAAGCAACAACTATCTAATTGGACTTGAAGCCCTCTCAGTGGGAGTGAACTCATGGGTGTGACTGTAAACAGCCAAATACATATGGCTGGAGAGGTCATAGATCCTAGAGATAACCGTATCTCTGTCATAACTCTAGACAAATGAAATTTCTTGCCATATCCTCAATATGAATCTTTATATTTACAGACATGTATACTATACACCACTCATCAAAGAAGCTTCTTTTTGCAACAGATTGAGGCTACTGCAGAATCTCACAACTGGCCAGACAAAAAGAATATACATCTGAGAGATGCCCAGTCCTAGGTGACATATCTGTAGTTGAACCTCTACACCTGAAGCTCATGTAGCATAGTGGAATGGGGTAGAGAGAAAAATAGGGAATTCCTTCAACTCTCACCAGTGAAACATCCTTATACAACAGAGTGCGATGCACACAGAAGTCAGGTTTTAAAGAATAGGAGACTGCAGAGTGTGACCCTGGATAGGACTCCTATATTAAACCTCACCCACCCATGGCTCAGGGACCCATTGTGGAAGAAAGAACAGAAAAATGGTAAGAGCCAGGATTGATTCATTAACATAGGGAAGCAGAGGCTTTCAGGCCACTTGAAACTTGCACGTGTAAATTTGTGGCAATGATGGCATTGAGTACAGGGTCCATGCCAACTCAATCAGACAAAGGTCCAGAGTGGAGTGAGGGAAATGGGTGGTGGGCCGGCCCTAGTCTGGGAACTGTTAGAGACCAATTACTACTCGATGAGGGAGAGTAGAACTTACTTACAATCTCTAGGTAGGCTGACTAGACTCCAGTGGATGAATTTGCACCAAAGGACATCTGGGTACGAGTGCTTGACTGGACAGAACTTAACATGTATGGTAGAATTCATGAGGTCTGGTGGGTAGTTTTGTGGCATTGGTGGGGGAAGGGGGTCTAATCTGAATAGGTTCTGTTGCATGAAATATACAAAAACAATAAAAATTTTAAAAATTCAAATTACGTATGTTAGTAGTCTAAAGAGGTTAAGAAATAATATAGTTAAATCCTTAATATCTGAGAGCTTGGCAACAAGAATGAGGCTGATAAACATGAACAATCATCTATTTTTGATGTAAATACAGTACACACTCCTCTACATATCTTTATATGTGGTCAAGGTCTGACATGGAGCATCAATATTTAATAGACAGTAACTTAAGCAAAAGAGTCTATCAGTAGTACATTGGTAGATTTAAGAAATTTGTGATTATAATTCTAGTTCAATAACAAACAAAAGTTATTAATGACTTACACCTTTATTTTGTTTTACCAATCTACATTAACAGGTGTTTGTGTCACAAACATCCAGCATCAATATTCCTGAATGATATTTGATGTAGTATACTTATAACATACTTATCATATTACTTTATTCAAATTTGTCCCTTCTGATTCCACACTTTCTAAGGTACATGGTCCACTTCAAGAGCAAGTTCCTGACTCCATTCATTTTCTTATATTTCCCTATTCTAATATACACACCCAAGATGGATTGGTTTTTCTTCCTCCAAGACTGGTTGGTTTGGTGAACTTGAGATTGCCGTAGCTCTGGTCTCCTTGTAGCCCCAGCTGTCCTGGAACTCACTATGTAGACCAGGCTGGCCTCGAACTCAGAAAGATCCACCTGCCTCTGCCTCCCAAGTGCTGGGATTAAAGACGTGCACCACCATGACTAGCTTTGGCATACTTTTTTAATAGCAACCAAAACAGTACTTAATAGGTGCATTTCAAAATGTAGCAGAATAGATGAGACAGATTACACAGGAACATTGCACTGTGATAAAACTCCAAACTTTGAATGCTAATGTATACTTACTGGTTAGAATTTTATTGCAGTCATTACATTTTAGTGTGTGCAAAGTCCTAAGTAATTTTCTGAGAATACAGAGGAAGAAAGAAGCAGATTTTTCCTATATCTGCCTATAATATTATTATAACACAAAGTTCACATTACACTCCTTAATTGCATTTCTTACTGAATCACAGCTATTAATCAAAATATCCTTTACTTCAGCATCTGTCATATATATTTTTTCTTACAAATGATTTCTGCAATAATCTAGCAATATCATGATAATTTGAATTTCACACAGGAAATTTCTAGAGTCAGACCTATCACACTGTGTAAGGGATTCAGGAAGCAGTGATGTGATGAGGCACTCCACCTCACCTTTTGTGGAATCTGGGCTAGGGCTGTTGCAATCACATTGGCCCTGTCTTCTGTCAAATTGCAAACCATCGACCCCAGAGAAAGCACCACAACACCATGTTCTCCAGAGCTCTGGACAAAGTCTTCCATCTCCTGTGAAGGAAACATTGATTCATCACAAAAGAGCAGTAGCACCACAAAGCATGTTGTAAAGATTGGTACAATTGTCCAAGGAAGAAAGTCGAGTATTATTAGAAATCATTTAAGTGTGGCTCTGCTAAGATTTGGTGAAGTATGCATAATATAAAACATGCAATTGTTGTTGCATGAATGTGCTTGTTCTTTTACAAAGAATTCAGGTTTTCATTTCAAAAAATTAAAAGTTTATATAAATGAATGTCAAAATTCTATCATCTTGAAAAAAATGAGCAATTGTTTACATTACTCCCCAGTTCATTTTTTTTTTCATTCCATGGTCCTTTAACTACTATGCTTCTTCTTCTGTGTCCATAATTTTGGATAGTCTAGGTAGGTAGTTCATGTAGTATTTGTCTCTCTTTCACTGGCTGATTTTACTTAATGTAATGTCATTAACGTTCCTACATTGTATATGTCCAGGTAGGAACTTTGTGTTCCTATTCCCAAAATTTTAAAGGCTTAGAGATATTTCTGTCTATCACATACTACATATTATTTGTCAAAAAATCTATTAATTGATACCTGGGTTGATACTGCCTCTCCTTTTCCAGGACCAGAGCTGATATGATTATCCTTCAGCAAATATCTCTATGAGATCCTTTAATCATGTCTCTTACATTTATTCACAGAAGTGGTATTGATGTACTATAAATGTATTTCTCATCTTGTTAGGAACTTCCATATTCTTTTCAATAGTGGTTGTTTTTTAAACAGTTTTGTTGGAAAGATATTTGAAGTGTGATATCAGTTTTTTTTACCGTGTCTGCATGGGAAAATATATGTGTGCATATATGGGTCAATAAGAGTATGTTTCTACTCATATTTTTGATCAAGAAAGTAAACATAGCCATTATACATATGTGAAAATGATTTTCTCCTTGACCAAACTTTATCAGTCTTCTCTGAAATCACTTTGTATGCAGGACTTGGCTTTTGGATGTTGTGTCCCCAAACAGTCTGTTTCCTCTGAGGGGTGGGGCCTGCTGCAAAGAATTGACTGTGGCAAGCTAGCCACAGAGGGAGGAACTGCACGAGGCAGCCATGTGAATGGAATGGCCTGGCATTTATCGACCTGGGGCAAGACTGTGGGCCCACAAGGTGTAGGCAAAAGCTAGTGGTGACCATGGGTGGGCCACGGGAGCTATCTGAAATGGCAGACTTTTCACCATGGTGCACAGCAGGGCACCGGGTGTTCGTTTCCTTGTGAGTCATCCCCCCAACAGTACTATAATAAATTCACATAAAGATATGTTATATGGTTTGTCTGATAGTTGGGCCACGGCTGTGTTGTAAATGTGGGGGTATGTTGTGAGTATGTGAAGATTTGTTGAAGGTTATTGAGAGGCTAGAAAAAATTTTAATGGTTTTGGACACAAATGTAGAGCCCAGAGAAGGGGATGGCCACTTTGCATAATAAAAGATATGCCCCAGGCAGGGGAAGCTGAAAAGGCTACAGGGGTCCTGGCAGATCCAGTTGCAGAGGCTTGAGAGAAAAAAAATTTGGACTTTTTAACTTGTGTAAGGTCCAAGGACTCAGAGGAAAAAAACAGATAATAGTAAAAAAGGAAATGACCTAAAAATAAAAGTATCTAAACCTGCCCCTCAGATTCAACCATTGATACAAAGAGGAAAAGCAACTAACAGTGCTATAGCTAGGAAATGCTCCACACTGGAACTGTTGAAACTAGGAAAAACTTACAAACAAGCAATCAAAGAGCCCCTAGCCACGTGGCTTGTGAGAGTGTGGGACATGGGAGCAAATGACATCAGTCTAAGTCCTTCAGAAGCTTCACAGATGAGTTACATAACCACCCATCCATCCTTGTGATATAGGCTGTTCAACTTAGGCCAATGCAGAGGGGAGCAGTCCTTAATGGGATCTCTTGTTGAAGGCATTAAAGGTACATGGTTGTCACCAAGGGAGGCTAACATGATTAGGAGGGGGTGGAGGACTATAAAGGAGGGGCAGGCATTACTAAGAAAACTAGGTATGAAAAAAGCAATATATGATGTCCACTTCAATGGGTCAGGTAAGACTGTGTTCACCAGAGATACAAAGCTTAATTCACCTGGGACCTCGAGAATTGTATGGAGCTTTAATGGTTTTGCTAAGTCCTTTTAATGAGACAGGATCTTTGTAAGTGAGAGAGGCTTTAGAAAATCTAAATGATTCTAACCAGCATGTAAAACATGTCGGTAGAATAACAGAACACCCCATAAGAGATATAAAAAAGACCAGACAAAAGAAATTGTTCATTTGGGTTACTTGAAGATAAATGTGACAAGACTTATGTTGAGCCCAAATTCCCAGAGAAAAAAATTGATAGAAAACCAAATTCAGTACTAAGGAGTTTCCGGAAGGCTTTAAAACCAGAATAACAGTTTACAAAAGGCATTCAAAGGATAAAAACTGTCTCAGGGGTGGTTTAGAATCCCCAAGGATTAAATAAAATGCATTTCTCTCCTGATAAAGACTATACTAAGAGTGGAAGCAGTTTTTCCCACCAAATTCTCTCCCAGCAGCTAGGTGTGGTCAATAGAGAAATGAGAGATATGGATACAGTCAGAAGGCAGACCCAGGGCCTGCTGACTCAGGGAACCAAATGGTGCAGTGGGAACAAGAGGAAACCCCTGCCTCCTTTGCCCAGTGCAGGGTCAGGCAACTGGAGCCAACACCTGTAAGTGTATCAAGAATAAAAGAATACAATGAGGCTCCATGTAAAATCCCCCAAGTGAAAAATGATTGCAAGGGATAAATAAAGATAGTAAAGAACTAACCAAATTAATACCTCATACCCATGCTATGGTACCTAACAAGGATCTATGGAGAAAACAGTTAATACAAATGGATAAAACCTTTCCATGCTGTGTTAGACCTTGTCTATGATTGATTTAATATATGATGTTAACTTTCCTTCTAGTGTTTTACAGATGTGAAACTCATTTGTAAGATACCTGAAGAAGCAAAGGATGGCTATAGCTGTAAGATTCTTGGAAGTTTTATGGTTGGATAAGATAAAAGCAAAGGCTCCCAAACTATACAACTGTTAAGGAAATTTACAGTACCAGGGTGGGTTGCCTCCCTTTGAGCTATTGGTCAGAGAGAAATCCTAGAGGTTCTCAAATTCACCAAGGCTATTGCCACTAATGTCAGTTGTACACTAGAAAGGTTGGTAAGACCATGTTGCTGAAGACATTGCATCATGTGAGCATGGGAGGAAAAGAAGAGATAGAGCTGAGACTAAGCCAAAAAACTCCATGGCACTGGATGGATGGCATTCATAGTGACAGAAGGCACTATACAGATGGTTGGGGAAGAAAGGATCCCCTATGAGTCTACTTGACAATGGACCCCGCATGCTGCACACTATGGACATGCCAAGCAAGGCCTGCAAGTGCAATAATGGCTCAACCAACATTCGTGCAACTGACAAACTTCTAGTTGGATAAGGCCTGCTCTAAGGAGTTGAACACACATCTGGTGCTGCAGACCAGGCCAACCCCCTGTGTGGCCCTAATGGGGAAGGCATGACAAGTATACTGTTTAGTGAGTATAGTACACCTGTAGGGATATCTTCCAGGCATTTGTATTTACATTCATGTTTGTTTAGATGTGTCTATTTCCTTCTAGTTGTCTTTATAGTAGAAGAAACACCACGGAGATAGATCAATGACCACGGCTTGAAGATGGATAATGGGGAGGCCCCAGAAGTCACTATCTTGCCATGATACCAGAGAGATCACCCTACATCTGTCACCCTCTCCAAGGTTCAGGGACCTTAGTGAAAGATTGGCAGAAAGAGTGTAAGAGTGGAGGAAAGGGGAGGAGTGTGTCTCCAAAGAGTCTCTTTCCTCTGAGGGGTGGGGCCTGCTGTGGAGAATTGACTGTGGAGAGCTAGCTATGGAGGGAGGTGCTTTCTACCCTCTTGGACAGGAGCCGCAAACTGAGTGAGGCAGCCGGGCATGCAAGAATGGAATGGCCCAGCATTTACTGACCTGGGGTGAAACTGTGGGCCCAGGAGGCATGGGCAAAAGCTAGTGGTAACTATGGGGGACCCGCAGGAGTGATCTGGAATGGCGGGCTTTGAGCCACTGCACAGAGCTGGGCACCAGGAGTTCGTTTCTTTATAAGTCACTTTAGCTCCCCCAATGATGTATGCTATAATAAATTCTCATAAAGATATGGTTTATATGATTTTTCTGATAGCACAAGAGACCCTGAGAGAACTGGGGTGACAGATGTCCTCTCTGTATTTAGTGTTTGTGTGTTCTTCTTTGCAGGCACAAATTTAGCAACCAGCCCTTTGATAACATCTTGTTAAATTGATGTAATTCAAATGCCAACATTGGTTATGATCATCCTTTATGTAACATATCAAAAAGACTTTTTAAATCAATTTTGAGATTATATACTACAATACTAAACAGAGCCAAATATTATATCAGGTTATTTCTGCTTTAGCCCTGTGTAGATGGTAAACTACAGCAAAATAAAAATATAATCTTATAATGTATTATTACTGAAAGAAGCAACTACTTTCCCTAAATCAGTAACAGCAATCATCTTATTTGCCAAAATGTTCACATGAAAATAATTTTGCTTTCTCTGTTATAAACAGTGTTGAATGTATTTAATTTATACAAGTGATCAATCAATTCTAAGTCAATTGAATAGAAATCTAGGGATTCTTAAAATTAATTAGTGATTCTATCTGGATAAAAGACAGTGTCATTTATACATGATACAAACATGCATAAGTATACATGCACAAAATTGGAGCTCTACTGGCCTTCATTCAAAAATTTTGTCCATGAGTAATTCAGCACAGCAATAAAACCTCAGTTGCACATTTTATTCCTCAGATTTTTAGGAGAAGTTGGGATTTCTTGCTCAACAAAAGGTTTGAACCACTGTTTGTGAAGAAGGCTTTTTAGCATTTTCCCATCTCCTCATCTGGAGGGCTAATTCAATGGAGGCTATGGCCTACATTTTAAGCTGAGGAGACAGGCATCTCACAGTCCTCTGGGGCATCTTTAAAACTATTTTATTTTTTATGTGTATGAGTGCATTGCCTGCATGTTTGTAAGTGCATCCGGGTCACACAATGCTAGTGGAGGTCAGAAGAGGGCACTGGATGCCCTGGAATGGGAGTTATTGTCAGTTGTGAGCCTCCACGTGGATGGTGGGAACTGAACTTGGGTCCTCTGTAAAAGTAGCCAGTGCTCTTCACCTCTGAGCCATTTCTCCAGCTCACCCCTCTGGATATCTTTACTCATCTAAATGAAAAAACATACTCAATCTGTTTCCTGTTAGCATTTTGTTTTTTTCAGCCTCATGTAGTTGTTTTGAAAAACATCGAATCCTGTACAGGGGCAGAGGAACAAGTGATGATAGAATCCTGGAGGCTGTAGGGGGCAGTGAAAGGTATGACCCTGTGGAAAGATGGAGATAAGAGGGCAAACTTTGAAGCAGAGTTTAAATGTCATTCTAACCTATGACCCTCCGCCCCCCCCACCAGTCCTTGCCCTGTAAATGCCATACAAGAATAATTCTGTCTTCTCTATTTTTTTTTCCACTAAATTATGCAATGGAGAGCAAAAAATTTCCTTTAAATGAAAATGAAGGGGGCTGAAGAAATGACTCAGTGGTTAAGAGCACCAACTCCTCTTGCAGCAGACCCAGATTCATTTTCCAGAACCCACAAGGATGTTTCCTAGGAATGATCTCTAATTCCAGTTCCAGGGGAGCCGATGCCCTCTTCTGGCCTCTACTGGTATTGCATGCATGGGTGCACTTGTATGCAGTCAAGACACTCATATACATAAAACAAACAAACAAGCAAACAAACAAACAAAACCCAGAAGCCCACACCTAGCCAAATTTTAAAGAATAAGAGACTTCAGAGTGTGTATCCTTGGATAAGATGCCTATATTGAGCCTCACTTACCCAGGCGCAGGAACCATTGCAGAATAGGGGACTGAACGATTGTAAGAGTCAGGACTGGTTCATGAACACAGGGAAGGCAGAGGCTTTCAGGCCACTGGAAACCGGCACATGTGAACTTGCCCCATTGGATTCTGGAGCACAGAATCCATACCAACTCAATTAAATAAGGGCCCAGAAGGGAGGAGCGAAACAGGTGGGGGCCTGCCCTAGACTGAGAACTCTTAGAGACTAATTGCTATTGTTGAGGGAGTATATACCTTACATAAGTTGTCTAGATGGGCCGACTAGACTCCAGTGGAGAAATTTATGCTGAAGGAAATCTAGGTAAAAATGCTAGACTGGATAGAACTTAACATGTAAGGCAGAATACATGAGGTCCAGCCAGGGGAAGGGGGCACATGGATGGGGGAGAAGTTCTAAATTTGATTAAGAACTGTAGTATGGAATTTTAAAAGTTCAATTATTTTTTTTAAAAAGAGTTAAAAAAGAAAATGAGATAAAAATGAAAATTTCAAGTTGAATCATTTTATTAGTCAAAAGAATATTTTGAAGTTGAAGTTGTCAGTGTCCTGAGAAATGCAGCTTTCCCATGACTCAAAGGTCTGCCTAGTCTGTGTGACTGCCTTTACCGAGAGCAGCATTTATAGTGACATGTGTTCAGTGTTTTAACTCATTGATGCTCTGTTCAAAGCCTCCTTATATATGAAGTGGGAACTTTCCCCCTGTATTCTTATTTATTATTGAGTAATTACTAGCATGAACTAATTATTCTTGTACTGTAGTAGGCAATGCTCATTTTGGGGAAAGTTATTTTATTTTTATGAAAGCACAAATACATCAAACATCCAGATTAAGGTAACCACTCAAAGTCTTTCCCAGTCTGCAACTCTGTCTATGTAATTTCAGAGAACTTCTGTACAGTAAGAGTTGCCATTCTAAAACCATGGGGCTCTGTTTTTCACACTTCACCATCAATTACTTTTATGCACTTATCCATCACCTAAAGGGAAAAGTATGCCAAAGCTGAAACTAGAAAACCAATCAGTTTTATATTCTCTTTCATGACTCATTTTTAGAACATCTAGAAAATCATAAAAACTATAAGAATAAAAATAAGATTTACTCATTCTTCAGGCAGTAATATCTCTGAAATT